GTATGAGAACTGGAGAGCTGACCCCATCATCCCCTCAAATGTCACATGTGGCAAGGGTGAGGGAAAGATGTTCCCTGACCCTTGTCACCAGTGCCAGGCAGGAAAGCTGGCTGTGGTGATATTTTGCTTGTGATCTAATAAATAAAGCTTGCCTGAAGATCAGAGAACAGAGCTAAGTCACTAGTTAGCCATAGAGGCCTGGCAGTGGTAGCTCACACTTTTAATCCCAGTACTTGGGAGTCACACACCTTTAATCTCAACACTGAAGAGGTGGAAACAGGGAGGGATATGGCTGGGTGGAGAGACAAATATAAGGTGGGAGGAGACAGGAGCTCCTGGTATTCAGTTTGAGAATTCATGGAGAGAGAATCTAGTCCACTTTTGTCTGAGGATTTTGTAGAGGTAAAATGTTTCTCTAGTGGATGACTCATTTACTTCTCCTATCTTTCAGCATTTACTCCAATCTGACTCTGGGTTTTTATTATTAAGACTAATTATGATATATATGGCATTACAACATGGGGCCAAAATTTCCACATAAAGCCTGAAATGGCTTTAAAAAGGATTCTAAACACACAAAAACAGAGTCAAACTCAGCTTCTTGGTAACTCCTTTTTCTTGGGGGGGTTCTGTTTGCTAGTGGCAAACAGAGGCAGTATCCTTTAACAGATGCCTTCCTGACTCAGTATTAGTGGCAAAATAACAGGCAGCTTAAGAGGCCCTACTACTAAACTTTGGGGTTTATGAATAGTGGATGGCATTCTACTAGGTGTCAGCATTGACGTAAAAGCTTCCCAGAGCTGGGACAGAAATCATGGGTCCCAAAGGTGGCCATAGTCTCCATCATGAGACTAATCTTTCAGGGAACCAAGGAGAGGGGTACAACCAGTGGCCAAAGTTGCCCACTTAGTCAAACCCATGATGCTTAGTAGTATAAAGACTCATGAGGTAAGGAAAAGATAGAGATATGCAGTAAAGACAGATTCAGACAAGAAATAAAAACATCTAAACAGTTTGTTTAAAAATCTGAGCCAAGCCGGGCGGTGGTGGCACATGCCTTTACCCAGCACTCGGGAGGCAGAGGCAGGCGGATCTCTGTGAGTTCAAGGCCAGCCTGGTCTAGAAGAATTAGTTCCAGGACAGGAACCAAAAGCTACGGAAAACCCTGTCTCGAAAATAAAAATATATATATATATATATATATATATATATATATATATATATATATTCAGAGGCCTGGGAAAGTAAAGGTATAGACAGTCATAAAAAAGAAACACATAGTTTTAAAATAATAAGGTTCTTAAAAAGGGAGTAAAATAACATTAAGAGGCCACATAAAAGAGAGTCTAGATAGTGTATGTAATTGTGTTGTCTTTAAATAGTTTGACTGCTGAGAAAAGAACAAAAGCTGCTAAAAGATATTTTATAATAAATATTGCTGGATTAATCCGACATATATATATATATATATATATATATATATATATATATTAAAAATGCCTTGACTTCAAAATTTAAGTCAAACGGTATGTTACTTTGGAGAAGAGGGCATGCTTTTGTTTCCACGGAAAATTAGAGGGTGTAGATTCATTCTGGGATAAGAAAAATCAGGTGTGATCGAAGAAAACCCCCTGAAAAAAATTTCTAATGGTAGTGAATAGCTCAAATGATCCAACATTTCAGAACACCTCTGTTGCAGTTTCCTCTGAGTTCTACATCAAGAAGAACTTAAAGACTGCTCACTGACAGGAGCCACTGGATGGTATCCTGAGCATAGGCAATCTCAAAGGCCCCTCCACAGTGACACACGTCCTTCAACAAGGCCATACGCACGCCAATAAAGCTATACTTTCTAATGGTGATATACTCTATGAGATAATGAGGGCCATTTATAATCAAACTACCAATTCTAGTCCCTGGACCCAAGAACTTGCAAAAATATCATAATACAAAATGCATTTAGTCTAACTCCAAAAGTCTCCGTAGTCTATCACAATCTCAACAATGTTTTAAAGTCCAAAGTTCAAATTCTCCCCTGAGATACATGCACTCTCTTAACTCTAACACCAAATAAAATAAAATAAAATAAACAGATTCAACATTTAATGGCACAAGAGATATATTATGGTTCCAAAATATAAGGAAGAAAGGATAGTGAGGAAACACGGGACCAAAGAAAGCCTAAACAGCAGCTGGACAAACTCTGTATCTTCATGCCTGATGTCAAAGGTCTCTTCAGATCTCCAACTCTATTTCTCTTTGACACTGGCTCAATCTAGTGCAGGTAGGGGTGGTCTTGAACTCACAGAGATCTGTCTGACTCTGCCTCTCGAGCGCCTCTCATAGAGCCACCACTGCCTGGCCTCTATGGCTATCTAGTGCCTTATCTCTGCACTCTGATCTTCAGGCAAGCTTTTTATTTGTTAGATCACAAGCAAAATATCATCACATTTCCCCTTTTTTTCTAAAATTTAAAAGATTATAATTAATATAAAAAACCACAAGTACAATAACTATATATTGTATACAATAAGGGTAAACAATATATTCAGGCAATAAGAACATTAACAAAGTCTAGTCATTAGCACTTGACAAATTCAGAGAAAATACTCCATTATCCTCCTTTGGTGAGTCCAAAAGGTAACAGCTAATTTGTTTTCTATTCTAACTTGCATTACCACATTTCTGTATCCCCCCTTTTCTTTTTAAAACAAGATCCTGAATCTATTGAGTCTGAGGGATTTTAGAGACAGGATCTTGCCTATTCAGTCTGAACATTTGGAGAAGTAGTGGCTGGCTTCTCCGTTTCTCTGATATTTCAGATTTCAATCCCTAATACCTGACTCTGGGTTTTTATTATTAAGACCAATTAGAATTGGCACTACACCTGGCCACGGAGGCAGGAGAATGGGAGTGCTTGCCCTGCCCCTCACCAACTGCAACACTCTCAGTAGAACTGGCCCTGGTGATGTGTGTACAGGCGAGCCAACCTGAAGGAGTGAGAGCATAACTGGACCTACTCCTTGCAGTCTGCTGCATTGGGTGAGCTAGCCAGGGCAGGAATGGAGAACTCACTCAGGCAGTGACTACAAGGGAAAGCTGCCAGGGAGATCAACCCACCAACCACCAGGCCCAGAAGCAGGACTGAGTTAGCCCAGCCCAGCATCCACTCAATCTGTGAACTGCTGGAGCAGATGAAGGGGATGAACCTACAGACCCCAAACAGCAGGATCCCCACTAAGGCAGCAACAGTATTTGAAGGAGGAGTCATGGTGATGACCCAGTGTCAATAGTGTAGCAGAAGCCAGAGGCCTCAAACCAGACCAATGGCTCATTGCAGTAAACCCAAGAAAAGATGTATGGACTAAAGGGAACCCTCTGGGGCTAACTGGGCCACAGCTACAGTTTCCATGCTGAGATTCTTTCTTTCATTTGTTCATTTATTTTAATTTATATATTTTAGGGATGAGTTTATAAGAGCAGAGGCTGGATGCAAAGAAATGGAGAAATAAATGGGATTGGAATGCCTGATATGTGTGCCTTCTTTCTCTCCAAAACATGGCCAGAATCTTCCCTTTTTCAATGTTTAAATATCCAAACATCCATCCCATTTCTCCAGCTTTATGAAAGTTTTCTTTTTTACATTATTCCCTTCCTCCCTCCCTCTGGGTTCACAGGTCTTTCTGAAGGACATGGCCAGCTAGCCATGCTTTCTTTGGTTTGGTCCCTACTGGACAATCCCACTCACACTTTCTTTTCCAAAAGAAATAGTAATTCTGAAAATATTCATTTGAAAACTTGATAGATATCAAGCTCTTGTTTTTTTTCACCTATGAAGACTGGGAAATGCTCATGTTATATGTAAAATTTGGAGGACACCTAAGTCCGAATCAGCATAGAAAGATGAGGTGGAAAGTCCTTCGGTATATGTGTTGCTCTCATTGGTTAATGAATAAAGAAGCTGCTTTGACTTGTGATAGGGCAGAGTAGAGCTATGAAGAAAAACTAAACTGAATGCTGGGAGAAAGAAGGCAGAGTTGAGAGAAGCCCTGTGGCTGCTGGCCATGAGCCATCAGCTAACCTTGCTGGTAGGTCACAAGCCTCATGGTGAAATATAAAATAAAAGAAATATAAACTAAGAATAGAAAAATAATAATAATAGAAATGATAAAAAATAGAAATATAAAAATAGACGATGTAAGAGCTAACTAGAAATACACTTAAGCTATTGGCCAAACACGATTGCAAATTATACGGTTTCTGTGTGTTTATTGAGGGACCGGGGCAGGGCAGAACCCTCCGACTATATGAAGACATCAGTAAAATGATTGGTGCATACAGTGGACTATTGTTTGGGTGTGGGAAGGAATGAGGTCGCAAATGATCCCACCTACAGGACCTGTCCGACTCAGACATGAGCTGCCATGCATGGCAGAAGGCAGAGTAGTGGCTAAGGAGTTCCAGGGACCAGGAAAGCTGTAGCTCTGAATTTGCTCCAGATGCCAGGGGCTCTGAGCCAAATCACCGGCATGAAAAGGAAAAAAAAAAATAAACAAAAAACTCAGGTTTACAGTGGTGCCTGGGGTACTGGTGGCACAGGGAGGGGGGCAGCAGAGGCGAGCGAGGGGCAAACAGCTCGTATTTAATGGGTAGGCGTGGTGACAGCACCTTAGAAGCCAAGACTGTGAAGGACTTTTCTCCATAGCACCACAGACGTCTTTGTCTTTCCTAGAAGGCCCCCCCCCGGGGGGGGGGTGTCAAGATGGCAACAGCGCCCCTAGCGAGGGCTGGCTGAGAGTCATCCGGCACGTGACACGTCATCAGTGAGAGCGGAAGTGTGACAGGGTGGGCTGCGACGACCCACCGACAGTCAGACCCTGAGGGGCCGCTAGGACACAGGCGGCCATTGGGATCAGGGCGGAGGCCCAGAGCCCAGCAGGCCAGCAGGGAGCAGCCAGGTAGAGCCGAGCCAGCCCCTGAGGGCACACCTCGAGGCCACCATGCCCCGGACCAGGCAGAGCAGCCGCCAAGGGTCGTCTGGTCAGGGGTCGTCTGGTCAGGGGTCCGCTCGACGTCAAGGGTCGACTCGCCGTGCACGCTCCTCCAGAGCCGGGCTGACACTGTCTGTGAGTCTGGTGGAACACCTTCTTCGGGAGGCCGGCCATGCCTCGCAACTGAGAGAAACAGCGCCCATCTTGCTGACCGCCGTCCTGGAGTTCATGGTCCGCAGAGTGCTGGAGCTGGCAATCAACGAGGCCCAACGCCGAGGTGCCGAGATGTTCATCACCCCAGAGCTGCTGGACTTCACTGTCTACAACAACACGCCCCTCAGCGAACTGTTCCAGTTCACCACCATCTCTCATGTGCCTCTGCCGGAACCTGGTCGTCGTCGTAGCAGTCGTCGACGTCAGTGATGGCTCCTACCTGCTCCTGGCTCGCTGGCTGGCTCTGGGTTTCTGATGGACTTTCCGCCCCGTTTATCCATCGGGCATCAGTTCATCCTGCCCAACATTTCCCATGGCCAGCCCTGTTTGGCTGACAAGCCTCGCCCCTCTGTTGTGTTCTCATTAAAGCTTTTGTTAGAGCATCGCATACATTTGCTTCCCTGAAGTTTCCTTTGGGCTTGGGATAGGGGTGGAGCTGGGTGTGAGGGTGGCAGTGGGGACAGAAGGTGAGGTGGGCCTAGCTGAAGGAGCACAGGGGTTGAGAGTGATGGCTGGGGTTGCCAGGGACCCACAGCCTGGTTTCCCTAGTTTTTCTTTGGGCATGAGGCAGGAGTGGAAGGTGGGGGAGGAGGGTAAACTCGGCCTAGTCGCAGGACACAGTGGTGTTTGGGGTGCAGGTGCGGAAGGCAGGCAGGGATCGTGGGGGAGCTGCTGCTCCGGAGGGAGACAAGGAGAACCTGGGTATGGAGGGGTACACAAATTGGCCCTGAACCAGTGTGGACCAGCCTGAATAACTGCATCAGAAAGATGGCCTCCTCATAGGAAACCACAGGGCAGAGGAGCCCACGTCCAAAGGGGGACTTTCGATTCAGGATGCAGACGTGGACAAGAACTCTGGCACGTGGCAACTAGGTTCGTGGAGGAATTTTTTTTTTTTTTGGTTTTTTTCGGGGCAGGGTTTCTCTGTAGCTTTGGTGTCTGGCACTGGGTTTTTGATCCTACTGCACATACTGGCTTTGTGGGAGCCTAGGCAGTTTGGATGCTCACCTTCCTAGACCTGGATGGAGGTGTGTGGTCCTTGGACTTCCCAACAGGGCAGGGAACCCTGATTGCTCTTCGGGCTGACGAGGGAGGGGGGCTTGATTGGGGGAGGGGGAGGGAAATGGGAGGCGGTGGCAGGGAGGAGGCAGAAATCTTTATTAAATAAATAAATAAATAACAAATGTATGTGTCAGTTGAAAAATATTCAAAATAATAGAATAGTTAAAACAGACATAGGAAACAGGAGTATGAGGAAATACGGCAATCATTGTTTTGAGACGGGTTTTCTTTTTTATAGTAAGGTTGCGAAGAATATGAATAAAGGACATTATTACAGATAAATTATGAGACAACTCACAAGGATTAAAAACAGGTTTTTGTGGCTCCATAAAACAGCACGGGGTAAAAAGGATAACTCTTTAATTTTCAGAGTTAGATGCATTGTGTGTACATGTCCACAGCCAAGCTGGATAATAGAATAATAGAATAGTAATAATAGAATCACTATGAAATTATTTCTGGAAACATGGTGTTGAAGGTCCTTTTATCTATATGTTGCTTTCATTGTTAATGAATCAAGGAACTGGCTTGGCCTGATTGGGGCAATACTTAGTTAGGCGGAGAAAACAGAACTGAATGCTGGGAGAAAGGAGGCAGAGTCAGGGAGAAGCCATGGATCCTCTGCCTGAGATGGACAGTGGATAGAAATTTGCCGGTAAGCCACTGCCTTGTTGCAATATACGGATTAATAGAAATAGGTTAAATCAAGATGTGACAGTTAGCCAATAACAGGCTAGAAATAATGGGTCAAGCAGTAACTTAATTAAAACAATTTCTGTGTGGTTATTTCGGGGCTAAGCTAGCTGGGCACCCGGAACAAACAAGCAGCTCCCTCCTTGCAAAAGAAACACCCATTTAAAACATTGAAACTGCAAATGTTTATGCAGATTCATAAAATGTTTTTGACCAAAGGTAATGGCAGATATCTTTCAGGTAGTGTTGAATACAGCTCGAAATGAGTCTGGATGTCTTTGTGAAATGTCATAGTCCCACTGCAAGCTCAATCCCAGCACCTTAAGATCTAGCTCTGCCGTTGGAATCGTGTTAACAGGTTAGGGCATCTGAAAACAAAAACATGAGTTGTGCTCAGGAAGTCTGAGTGAGCAGGTTGGGCTGGTTTTCCTGTAAAGGCCCAATTGCAACAGAGTTGTCTCTGTGATCTCATCAATGAATAAAAACACGTACAGGAAAATGGAGCCCACTGTCATTTATTTCTTCCTGAAATATGTAAGGTAACATTCATTTTGGGTAATTTACAGAGAACCAAAGAAGCCAATCGTAATATCAAATGCCATTTGCTTCCAAAATATAGAACATTCCACCCAAATAGGAAAGAATATACCTTCTTCTCTGCAGCTCATGGAACCTTCTCGAAAATTTACCACATACTCGGTAACAAAGGAAACCTCCACAGATACAAAAAAATATCAGTGTCCACCTGTGTCTTATATGTCACCACAGATTAAAGTTAGAAGGCAACAACAATGCTACCCACAGAAAGCCGACAAACTCATGGAAACTGAACAGTCAACTACTGAACCACACCTGGGTTAAGGAAGAAATTAAGAGAGAAATTAAAATCTTCCTTGAATTTAATGAAAATAAAGAGACAACATACTCAAACCTATGGGACACGATGAAAGCAGTGCTAAGAGGAAAGTTCATAGCACTAAGTGCCCACTTAAGAAAATGGAGAATGCATATATTGGGGAATTAACAACACACCTGAAATCTCTAGAAAAAAAAGAAGCAGACACGCCCAGGAGAAGTAGAAGACTGGAAATAATAAAACTGAGGGCGGAAATCAACAAAATAGAAACACAGAAAACAGTCCAAAGAATCAATGAAACAAAAAGTTGGTTCTTGGAGAAAATCAACAAGATCGACAAACCCCTATCCAAACTAATTAAACGACAGAGAGAGAACACGCAAACAAATAAGATCAGAAATGAAAAGGGGGACATAACCACAAACACAGGAAATTCAGAGAATCATTAGATCTTACTACAAAAGCCTATATGCCACAAAACTGGAAAATACAAAAGAAATGGACATTTTTTTAAATAAGTACCATATACCAAAGCTAAACCAAGACCAGCTGAATGATCTAAAGAGACCTGTTAGTCGTGAAGAATTAGAAACGGTTATCAAAAATCTCCCTTCAAAAAAAGCCCAGGACCAGATGGTTTCAATGCAGAATTCTACCAGAACTTCCAAGAAGAACTAATACCTATACTCCTTAATGTATTTCACAATATAGAAACAGAAGAGTCATTGCCAAATTCATTTTATGAAGCTACAGTTACTCTGAAATCAAAACCACACAAAGACTCAACCAAGAAAGAGAATTACAGGCCTATCTCACTCATGAATATCAACACAAAAATTCTCAATAAAATACTGGCAAACCGAATCCAAGAACACATTAGAAAAATTATCCATTATGATCAAGTAGGCTTCATCCCAGAGATGCAGGGCTGGTTCAACATACGAAAATCTATCAATGTAATCCACCATATAAATAAACTGAAAGAAAAAGACCATATGATCATTTCATTAGATGCTGAAAAAGCATTCGATAAAATTCAACACCCCTTTATGATAAAGGTCTTGGAGAGATAAGGGATACAAGGGTCATACCTAAATATAATAAAAGCTATTTACAACAAGCCGACAGCTAACATTAAATTAAACGGAGAAAAACTCAAAGCCATCCCACTAAAATCAGGAAGACGACAAGGATGTCCACTCTCTCCATACCTCTTCAATATAGTGCTTGAAGTTCTAGCAATAGCAATAAGACAACATAAGGGGATCAAGGGGATTCGTATTGGAAAGGAGGAAGTTAAGCTTTCGTTATTTGCAGGTGATATAATAGTATACATAAGCGACCACAAAAACTCTACCAAAGAACTCCTACAGCTGATAAACACCTTTAGTAATGTGGCAGGATACAAGATCAACTCCAAAAAAATCAGTTGCCCTCCTATACACTAAGGATAAGGAAGCAGAGGGGGAAATCAGAGAAGTATCACCTTTCACAAAAGCCATAAACAGCATAAAATATCTTGGGGTAACTCTGACCAAGGAAGTGAAAGATCTATTTGAAAAGAACTTTAAGCCTTTGAAGAAAGAAATTGAAGAGGACACCAGAAAATGGAAGGACTTCCCTTGCTCCTGGATTGGGAGGATCAACTTAGTAAAAATGGCAATTCTACCAAAAGCAATCTATAGATTCAATGCAATCCCCATCAAAATCCCATCAAAATTCTTCACAGATCTGGAGAAGACAATAATCAACTTTATATGGAAAAACAAAAAACCCAGGATAGCCAAAACAATCTTATACAATAAAGGATTGTCTGGAGGCATTACCATCCCTGACTTCAAACTCTATTACAGAGCTACAGTATTGAAAACAGCTTGGTATTGGCATAAAAACAGAGATGTCGACCAATGGAATTGAATAGAAGACCCTGACTTTAACCCACAAACCTATGAACACCTGATTTTCGATAAAGGAGCTAAAAGTATACAATGGAAAAAAGAGAGCATCTTCAACAAATTGTGTTGGCAAAACTGGATGTCAATCTGTAGAAGAATGAAAATAGATCCATATCTATCACCATGCACAAAACTCAAGTCCAAATGGATTAAAGACCTCAATATCAGTTAGAACACACTGAACCTGATAGAAGAGAAAGTGGGAAGCACTCTACAACACGTGAGCACTGGAGACCACTTCCTACGAATAACCCCAGCAGCACAGACATTAAGGGCAACATTGAATAAATGGGACCTCCTGAGACTGAGAAGCTTCTGTAAAGCAAAGGACACTGTCACCAAGACAAAAAGGCAACCCACTGACTGGGAGAAGATCTTCACCAACCCCGCAACTGACAAAGGTCTGATCTCAAAAATATATAAAGACCTCAAGAAACTAGACCATAAAAGGCTAATCAGCCCAATTATAAAATGGGACACTGAGCTGAACAGAGAATTCTCAACAGAAGAAAGTCAAATGGCCAAAAGACACTTAAAGTCATGCTCAACTTCCTTAGCGATCAGGGAAATGTAAATCAAGACAACTTTAAGATACCATCTTACACCTGTCAGAATGGCTAAAATAAAAAACACCAATGATAGCC